CACACACACACACACACACACACACACACACACACACACACACACACACACACACACACACACACACACACACACTTGATGAAAGCCTTTCTTGCTGATTTAATCTTTGTCTTTTCTTATCTTAAACTCTTCCACATCATCTCCCAAAGGCAAACACAACATTTACTGTACTTTTAGTAACAAACTCAGCACATTTCCTACTTTTTCTTTTCTGATTACACATTACTTTTGCTTAAAATAAAATTTTAAATATATGTCTTTATTTAATATGAGCGCACGCTTAATGATCAGAGATTATGCAGTACCTTGTGAAAGTCTTCAGAGCACTTGAACTTTTCCACACGTTGTGTACTTCAGTCGTATTTTAACAGGATTTTATGTGACAAACCAACATTATACTGAAAAACTGTGACAGGAAAATGATGTTTTCTTTTCTTCTTTTTTAATTTATTTTACAAATAAAAATCTGAAAAGTGTGCTGTTTGTATTCATCTGGTCTGAGTCGGGACTTTGTGGAATCACCGTTCAGTGCAGTTCCACCTGCAGGTTTCTTCAGATTTGTCTCCAGCAGCTTTGAACATTAAAGACTGAACATTTTGCCCGTATGTTTTTTTTTTTGTAAATCAGGCAGAGCTGACCTGATTGATCCGACCCATTCTGTTGTAGATCTGGCTGTATTTTTGTGGTTGTTGTCCTGCTGGAGTTTTTGTTTTTCCAGGATGATCCTTTGTTTAGTTCCTCCATCTTCTCTGTTCCTGCTGAAGAAAAGCTTCCCCATAGCATGATGTTGCCACCTCTGTGTTTCACAGTGCGGATGTTGCGTTCAGGGTCATGTGAAGTCTTCAGTCTGAGCAGAGCAGCTTCTTACAGGTTTGCATCCACGACGTGTCAAACTGCAAACAGGACGTTCCTTCAGCACTGTTTTTTTCCCACTCTCCCTTAAACAGCAGACTTGTGGAGCACGGCTCATAGTTGTCCTGTGGACAGATTGTCCCACCTGAGCTGTGGGTCTCTGCTGTTTCTTCAGAGTTACCATCACGCTTCTTGGCTGCTTCTCAGATAAATGCTCTCCGTGCCTGGTTGGGTTGAACTCTTTCTGATTTTGGATGATGAGCTGAACAGAGGTCCATGAGATATTCAAATCCTGCTTTAAACTTCTCGTGTTCCTTGGTCTTCGTGATGCAGTTTTAACGAAACGCTAAGCCTTTCAAAGAACATCTGGATTAATACTGTGATTAGATTACATGCAGGAGGACTGTATTTACTAATTATTTGACCTCTGAAGGGGATTAGACTTTGAAAGCCATGTATTGTTTCTGAATAAATTTATTTTTATTTTAATTTTCAGTATATAACACAGCGTCTCCCAACCGTGGTCCTTGAGGAACACCATCCTGCATGTTTTAGTTTGAATCAATGGGTGATGAACAGACTTCTGCAGAACTCGATGAAGTGATTAAATCACTGGAGCAGGACCGTGCAGGCTAGTGTTCCTCGAGGACCAGGGTTGGGAACCACTGATATAACATACTACATATCTACATGTATGTACTTGGCAGCCAGTCCGGACTCAGTTTTTGTAACATTGTGTGTAATTTGTGTATTTTTAAAGACTTAATGTTTGAGCAGTACACAGCTCAGCTTTATGTTAAAGGCCCCAACAGACGTTTGAGTGTTTGTTGCAGACGGATGCATCTTTTCAACATCTGATTGTTTACATGGACGAGAAATCAGGCAACACACACACACACAAACACACACACACACACACACACACACACGCACACGCTGTATGAGTGATTAAGAGTGCTTGTGATGTCTCAACAGTTCAAGGGCAGCCTTCTCGTGCACTGCAGGCCTGATGGAACATTAACACCCCAAACTGTCACTCTGATATAAACACGTGCACGTGGTGGCGCACGCAGCTCGTTGTGTGACCTCTGACCTCCTTCGAATGTCTGCGTGAAGGCTGGAGTCATGTGAGAGCTGATCAGAGGAGGAGAGCGGCTCCTCTTCCTCATCAGACACGTTTCCCTCCCGTGCTCCTCCGGCTCCTTCCCACCTGATGGTTAATTCATGGAGTCTGGCTGAACGCTCAGCCTCGTCGTCATTAATAAAACATCAGGGAGACGGAGGGAGGAGGAGGTGGAACCGGGAATAAAGAGCTGATGAGGAAATAAAAAGAGGAGAGGAAATAATGAAGAATGCATATCCCCCGCCTCCTTAAACAGCAGTTTTACAAACCATCTTACGTTGAGAAGTGATGCACAGTCTCCTTACGCTTTCACTACATGTTGTGGATGACTCTCGGCTACTACCAACCAATTTCAGCTCAGTATCTGTTAAACTGTTTTGTACTGGCTGTTAATAAGCTGTGGTTGCCAAGTTCAGACTGACTCCAAACTTTAAAGAGTTGTAGATGTGCATTTATTAATCACACCACGAGACATTCATTAAAGCCTGGCTAGTGAATCATGAGATATTTTGCTAACAGACAGGGCTGATGCCATCAGTTAAGTTTTAAGCTAAAATTTTGCACTTTGCTTTGCGTTTGTGCTGCAGATGATGCTCAGCTACAACGTTTCACTTAACTTCTGCAAAAGTGACTGAGTTGGAGCCTTTCTTTGTTTCTATATCCCAAATGTGTCAAATTCAAGGCCCGGGGGCCAAATGCGGCCCTCGTTGACATCTTATCTGGCCCCCAAGATGTTATTTTAAATGTAAAATACTTTTATCACTTAACTTTTTTCAGTAATCTTTGATTATGATGTCAAAAGTGCAAAAGAGAACGTCAAATGTGACCAAACTCTTGTTGAGGAACCTGTGACCAAGAAAAGATGTTTGGTCTCTGACTGGAGTTAATGTGATTCTGAAACCGGCCCTTAGTTTGAATAAGGTTTTAATTTTGGCCCCTTTTGTAAGTGGGTTTGACCCCCCCCCCCCCCCCCCCCACACACACACACACACACTTTAGACAGAGGAAACAGGGAGGATTTCACCCCAGAAAGAAAAAACTAAACACATCTAGAGGAATGATGTGTTCATGCTCTTTGTTTAAAACAGTTCTCCCTGGTAAATGAGTCCTCGAGGTTCAATGAGACTAACCTGCAGAAATAAAGGTTGAATGGAAAATAAAAACGATTAGAAGGGAGTAAAATGTGTCAGGAATCCTGTGGCGTCATGCGACTCGTGCACGTGACACTTCCTGTCCCCAGAAAAGGCCGGATGCTGCCTGATGATACTGATAATGATGAGAATGCACCACTTCAAGAAGTCACTGAGGAGCTGTGAATGAAAAGGAGTGAGAACTGAGTCACAATAATTTTTTAAAAAATTGTTATTTTCAAATTCTTTTTGTCTAAAAGCTCCAAAAATGCTCCACATGCTGGAAGTTAAGATGCATCATCAGGAAACACGAGCGCCGCTTTGAAAATGGGATTTTATTTGGTCTGGCGTGACGTCATCTGGAACTCCAGCCTTGTACTTTAAACGGAGAATCCCAGAACATTATACGAAGGGATTTCCAGGTGCTACAGAAGCCGGCAGACAAAAACGCGAGTCATTTTTAAAAGAGATTTTAAGGGTTCTACAACAAAAAGTAGTTCTGAACACATACCTGGCTGAAAGATAAAAGATTATATGTTGTTTTATTGTCTCAGTGAAACTCTCACCTGGCAGGGCTGTTAGGAAAGTTTTCTAAAAACAAAAACAATGTACAGATTTCACAACTCTGACACGGTGAGGATGATCTGCTCTAGATTTTTCTCACAATCCTCAACATATTTTGCAAACTGGAATAAAAACTGCAGTTTATACGTGCATCTATTACAGTAGGTCCCAGTCCAAGATGGCTGACTCGAGATGGTCTTGATTTGATCTGGCATGAACGGCGGCGGGCGATATGCATTCCATTAACGCTCCACCTTTAATTCAACAAGAAAGCAGGTGTTTGGGGCTGTTGTCCTGCAGGAAGACCAACTGTGTCCAAGTTCCAACTGTCTAGCAGAACTGATCTGAGGTGAAGCTGAAGGATTTGGACGTTCCATTCCCAGGACCACAGCATGATGCTACCACCGCCGTGCTTGGCAGTTGCCAAAGTGTTTTTAGGTTTGAAAGCCTCACCTTGAATCCTCGAAACATTCCTCCTGTCACTGTGGCAAAACAGCTCAGTCTTTGTCTCGTCAGACTGTAAAACATTTATCCAGACGTTTAAAAGCTTCAAGGCTCCAAACTAAAGAAGAAAAAATAAACTCATGCAGATTACAGATTATCTTTTGTGCTCTGGGTTTTATTTAGCTTTAAAGTTAATCACATTTTGGGGGATTGTCTAGAAATGAAGAAATGCATACATGTTTAACAGAACAATGCAATTTAATATATAATAATCATCCTTTGCATCATTTTCAAATTTATTTTTATTCAAGGTGTTATTGATGAAAACTAAATGCTGGGCTTCAGAGCTCCTCATCAAGATCATACAGAGGTGTTGTAAAAACAACAAACGTCTGATGTTGGGGGGGAGGAGAGGGGGGGGAGAGAGGGAAGCGTCCTCTGAGACCTGACACCAAACAGTGAGTAATGTCTCCCCCTGGTGGCAGACGCTGGTACTGCAGGAGTGATTCTCAGCTCCACGGGGTAACTGGAGCAAAACCAAGCTTTCTGCCTCGCGCACACATCCTGAAGCACACCTGAACCCCAGCGCCTGACTGCAGAGCTGCGCACGTTCGTGCTCGTGCCACACAAACCGAACCTCCACGTGAGTTTCATCCCGCGGCTGCGTCCTTCAGATACACTTGGCCTCCATGTCGTAGAGCCGGAGAAGGTCTGAGATCACAGCGTCGATGTCGGCTTTGGTCACGTCCTCACACAGCACCTACACACACACACACACATGCACACACACACAGTTTTCAGCTCCACACCTGGCCTCGATACCAGGACACATCAAAGGTGCACGCACCATTTCAGACGACCCACATTTTATGGCCTCCAGAGATGAAGCAGGAACTCTAAATATAAGTCTTTTCTTTATTTCAGTCTGCATACGACGGGATTTTACCTCAAAGCTGCAACAAAAGAGGCCTCGTTCATAAAACTGGGCGGCAGCAAACAAGTATAAATGCCACTAAACCTCGAATTAACGCTGAACGGTTACGTAAGGCGTTTCAGCTGCAGCTGGATGCTCCGGGAGTGAAGCCGCTGCTTGAAACGCACTAAAAACCTGCAAGAGTTCAGTGGCTGGAAGCAGCAGAAGCTTCGTAATAAATGTTTTCTTCAAAATAAACTGTTTAAATATAATAATATTCATAAGTGGAGTGGTGGTAAAGAGGTTAGAGAAGGTGGGCCCGTGATCAGAAGGTCGCCGGTTCAAATCCCCGTACCGACAACATCAAAATGTGGGTGGGAAAGGTGAAACACCCACACCTGCCTCCACCCTCATTTGCCCCACTCTCAACCCCCACCATCTGCCCCCCCGGGCGCCCTGGATGCAGCTCTCTGCTCCACACAGAGGGCTGTGGTAGCTCGATGTCTGTGGTTGAGTCAGGAGGAACATCTGGAGTAAAAACAGTCACCAAGTCTTCATGAGAGTTAGTTTGTTGTGGCGACCCCTGAAGAAGGAGCAGCTGAAATCTTTTAAAAATATATATAAATAAACATTAATGCATTTTAAATGCCTCCATGTTGACCAAATAACGACAGCTCTCCTTCTAAAGCTGACTTAAATCTCATAAAGGTTCTTCTCAAATGTTAGATTTTCCTTGAAAGAAGTAAAAAAAAGTTGTTGTTGAAGCTTTGACAAGTTAAATGACTCAGCCAACAAAATGTAATAAATAAATAAGATTTATGAACACGTAAGGGAAAATGATGACGAAGACTTCAGACTGAAGATTATAATGAAAATTATTCTGTAGAGCAGAAGTGAAGTGAGGACATGACAGTCCCAAGTCAAGTCCAGAGTTAAGACACGGAAGTTCTGAGTTAAACCAAAACCTGCAAGACTTGAGTAAACTCAAGGTCTGCAAGTTCTGAATCGAGTCCAAGTCAAGACATAAAATCAAGTCTAGACTCAATAATTAGCGTTTCGAGTCTCCATTTTTCTAACATTTGAAGCCACGGGCAGTTCGGCCCGGCTCCAGGTCGTTGGACGGCAGCTGCAGAGAGCGCTGGACTCCTGGCAGCACTTCCAGTCTTCGTCTGACGGCTAAACTGCCTCTGCACATCAGCTCGCACTTCAGTTAACGTATACTCGGACTGTTTACCGGCTGCTCACACGCCTCCTGAGACTTCAGTAACGTTGACACTTTAGTGTCTTCACGGGACGTTCTGCGGCTTTAAATCCACTTACACTTTATCAGTCAGCTGACGGAGCTGACGGAGCTGACGAAGCGAACGTGGTTTAAACTGCGTGACTGCAGAGTTTTATCAGGTAAAATGGACGGTGGATCAGCTGGGTTTGTAAACAAGTGTTTACTAACAAGTTCTCTTTAGGATGAAAGTATAAATGTCAGCATCGTGTTCCCCCACACGCACCTGCCACCACTTCCTCTCGCCGGCAGGAAGCTCCACGCCGTAGCTGTTCACGGCCAGGTACAGCGTTGCTATGGCGATGTGTTGCGGCGTATGACGGATGCACATGTCTCCGTGGTAACAGTCTCTCAGCAGAGCCCAGGAAGTCTCGGCTACAGGGGTTCGAGACCAAGCGTGTCGGTTTACCAGAGCCTTCACAGAGAGCAGGTAGTGGAGCAAATACTGCAGAGAGAAAAGTCCAGCTGTTAGTTAATGTTACAAATGTTACATATTTACCTTCTTCTTCTTTTTTGACACAACTACCTTATTAAGATCGTCATTTTTATTTTTACAGTAACTGGTTTGTTATTTTTGTTTTCTAGCTTTAGTTAATGTAATTTCCAGACTATCAAGCACACCTGAATATAAGCTGCACCCACTAAATTAAAAAATAAAATATATTTTTTTACATATATAGACCGCACTTGTATGTACAGTAAGTCGCAGGTGTCCACGTTGTAACATGAGATATTTACACAGAAAGATTTTTTTAAACTTGTAATTAAATACATACGGTAACTTACACAAATACGTACAGTAAATGTTGTTTTCTGAACAGTGCCTGCAACACGGCTGGTTAAAAATAAAAAAAATACAGCAGCCGACCAGGAAGTCATTGATTGCCTCCTGCGCACCGCGCCCTGCAGCTTGTGCTGTCCTCTCCGTCACGTAGCTGGAAACCCGTTGGTGATGGAGGATTTTTTACTGCTCCGCTGTCAGGGTCCACCGGCAGACTTGAGCACAAGGTGCTCTGTGCATGCGGCCAGTTTGGGGAATGATTTCTCACCACTAGTCAGGGAGGGGGCGGAAAGAACAGAGAGGGTTTCACTGGTCCCCTCCCCAGTGGTCCACTGTGACATGTTTGGTAATTTCAGGTCAGATTTTTAAAAAATCTTTATTTATACAGGTGGTCTCACTGAGTCACGAGGACCCACCCCCCCAAGAGAGACGTGTAATGAGCAGCTCTGTGAGCACCTGGGTGTGACCAGGCTAAAGGTTTTGGCAGCATGAAGCTTGTTAGCCCGTCAGAAAAAAAATCCATCCATTCAACGCGTGTGAAAAAAGTAGCGGCTTATAGTCTGGAAATTACGGTATATTGCAAATGTTTAAGTCGAAGCCCTCTGTCACCTCATTCAATTACCATGTAATGATGGTTTAGTGATTCAAAAGAAAAAACATCTAAAATAATAATTACATGTTGTGGTAAAAACACCCACTCCTAAATCAATTGTCAAGGTCAAGATCAAGGTTAAGGCTCTTTATTGTCATTCGCATCACATGTGGTAGGTACATGAGGTGGAACGAAATTGTGTACACGGTACCAGTTACATCCAAAAATAGCAAAAATATAAAGTGTAAAAAGAAACAGTAAATAAGGATCTAATATAAACTGATATACGCTAAACAAACACCAAACTGTACGCTAAAAGATCTAAGATATACGTTAGTCACTAAGAGTGCAAAACAACACACCGAACAACAGCAGTACAAACATGAGTCTCTGTGGGAGGACGAGTACGAATGAATGAACACAGCAGCATGAAATAATCAGCAGCATGTATAGTCAGCAGCATGAAATAATCAGCAGCATGTATAGTCAGCAGCATGAAATAATCAGCAGCATGAGATCAGCAGCACACATCAACAATCGAGTGGCATTACAGTAAAAAAATTTTCACAGTGATTATTCTGGTCAGAGATTCATGAGTCTAACAGCCTCAGGGTAGAAGCTGTTCCTCAGTCTAGTGGTTCTACACTTAATGCTCCTCAACCTCCTGCCTGAGGGGAGTGGGGAAAAAAGTGTGTGTGCTGGGTGAGTGTGGTCCTTCATGATGCAGGCGGCCCTCTTCCTGCATCTGCAGGTGTAGATGTCTGTGATGGTGGGGAGACTGACTCCAACTGTCCAAGTTCTATAAGCTGTATTATTTTATCTAACATCTGTGATGGACTTGGACAGTTATGTGCAACCAAGAGCAGCACGGTGGCTCAGTGTGCAGAGCTGTTGCCTCTCGGCGAGCAGGTTATCCCTGTTCAAACCCCGACCTGGGACCTCTCTGGGTGGAGTTTGCATGTTCTCTCTGTGCATGTGTGTGTTTTCTCCAGGTACTCCGGTTTCCTCCCACAGACCAAAAACATACATGTTAGACTGACTGGTAACTCTAAATTGTCTCTAGGTGAGAGAGAGAGAGAATGGTTGTTTGTCTCGTTTGTCTCGATGTGTCCCTGTGATGGACTGGAGACCTGTCCAGGAGGGCCCACTTTTCTCACAGTGACTGTTGGACATGGACACCAGTGACCCAAAATAGGAAGAAGCAGGTAAAGATAATGGATGGATGGATCTCTAAGAGGTAAGAAAAAGTTGAACGATGGACTTAGATGGTCCAAGTCCATCGTCCAAGAACGGTCCAAGAAAGAAGTAACACTTTAATTTCAACCTGACTTACACTTAAAGGAACAATTGTAAAATGTTTCAAACTGTAAACAGGGAAATGTGACCTGGAACACAAACAGAAACAGAAACGGACAAAGAGGTTGAATTCTGAACGAGGAGGACAAAGAATGAACTCGTACCTTGTGAGGGTGTTCGAAGGAGACGAGGAAGTTGAGCTGTCGGAGGATGAGGAGCTCACACTGCACCACGCTGTCCCTCAGGTCCCAGAACTCCTTGTTACATTCGAGAGGCGCGCTGCCTTTGTTGAAGAACCTGCGAGGGACAAAGGTGGACGGGTTGGAGGAGACAGTTAATGAACGTCTTGTTGGACAGAAAGGTCAAAGCTGAACTTCAAACTGTAAATGTGTCGTTTCATAACGAAGCAGCCAGTTCAGCTGGTTTTTGTTGACGGAGTTCTGAAAACGACACAAATCCTTTGATTTCTGAATAAAATCAAGAGTTTTCTATTCTGAACAAACTCGTGCAAAAGGCCTGTTTGAACAGTGTAAACTGCCAGTTACACTTTTCATCACTTTAATACCAGCAAAATGTTAACTTTATATCTGTTACATCCACAAAACTACAATTTATAAAGTCCATTATTAATATATTACATTTAGAAAAAGACAAAAATGCATTGTTTGTTTTAAATTTTAAATAAACTTTACCTGCTGATAAAAACTTGGCTAAGAAAAGGCTTGCAGCCCGTGTGCACCATGAAAACACTCCCAACTTCTAAAATGATTTAACGACGTTCTCCTCGTTAAAGAGGAAAAGATCTTCCAGACTTTCTTTAAGAAATCACTTCTTTGTACTTCTTTGACTAATTTATTTAAAAAATCTTTGCTCCTCAAAAGCTTTTGTGAAAATGTTTTTTGACCCAAATTATAATTAAAATTACCTCATACATCGTTTGCCTGAAACAACAACAATATTGCTACTTTTTAAATTTACTTTGTAACACAAAAAATCCCTCATGTCACGTATTTTTGGGGGTTGACATGCAAAAAAAAGTTTCCAAATTAAAAAAAAAATATGAAAAAATAAAAACATGTAGGTTTTATGCTCTAACTGTTTTAATTTTATTTCAGAACTCAGCTACCACCACACCAAATTCTAGCTCTATATCTGTAAAACTGACAGCTATAGTCACACATATACATATATATATATAAAACTATATATAAAACTATATATATATAGTTTTATATATATATATATATATATATATATATATGTGTGTAGGTGTCTGTGTGGCTGTAGTGCTTTTTGTGTTTAAAGGTCAATTGGTTGTGGCAGCCATCTTGAATCAAAATGACTTGAAAAATTAAAGACTTGTAGACGTCTATGGAACAATTTCTTTCTGACAGTATCGTTAAAATTCATCCAGTGGTTCATGAGATATTTTAAAACAGACAGACACTGGCAAAAACATCATTGCCTTTGCTCTTTTGGAGTTGTAATAAAAAAAAAAGTATTTTAAAATGTATAGAAATAAACATATTGAAATAAAATTAAAAGAAAATTAGTAAAACTCAATCCAAGTTCAGGAAGTTTGAACAAAATCTACTTAGTTTTCATGAAACGTTCAACGTCTAAAAGTCGAGGCAACTTTCTGAATCGAAAGTTTTGAGCTCACAACAAAAATAAACGGACGGCTGAGGTTTCCTCCAGCTGTAACAGGAACAAGCGGCGAGTTATTTATCTTTCGTCGTGCGTTCATTACCTGTGGCTGACGTTGATGATGTCACGGGTCCTGATGTGCTGCTCCTCCACCTTGCCAGCCAGGTACACGCAGCTCATGGCCACCAGGTAGGGCTCATAGACCCGGACGCTGGCCCGCTGGAAGAAACGGTGGTACAACACGCAGGCTGTGGCCACGGGCACCGAGCGCAGACCGAGCTTCACCCCTGAACAAAGACAGGTCATCATCTCCACCTGACTCGCTCACATGCAACTGAGGATTTCTGCAGAAACAACGAGGTCTTGTGTCCTGAACCTGTTTCTGTTGCCCGACGACGTTTGGCATTCACACAGGATTCCTACAGACTCTCTATGAAAAATTTCAAGCCGTTCCAGACTCAACTTTACAAATTTTACAGTGAAAATTTTAACCTTTTTAATGTTTAAGTACACCAATAAACTTTAAATGTAAAGTAAAAACTTGTGCCTAAAACTAAATATAAGGGACAACACTTGTAAAAAAAAAAATGAAGTAATTTTTGTGATGAATTAATGTTTTTAACCACATGGTTTATTTTTTAATACAAAAAGGCTTGTTTAATAAAACTATGTTCCAGCTCAGAGTAAAACAGAATATGATGTGTACAACAGCTGCACCAACTTCAAATTCAATTCAAATATACTTTATTAATCCCAAAGGGAAATTATTTGTTGCTGTAACTCATTATCCTCATTTCATTAAGAGATGTTATAGATGCTGATGGCTGTAGACAGGAAGGATCTCCTGTAAAGGTCCATCCCACAGTGGATCCCAAGAAACTGGCTGCAACTTGTGAAACAATTTGTAAATCTATGTGCAACAAAATGTATGGATACCACAGCTGTATGGCAAATGATATGCATTTATTTAACATGGCATTTAAGAATAGTTCACAATACAAATCAAAAAACTATAACGATACTCATCTTGTACGTATATTAAATATAATAAGCATTCTGAACAGACTGTTTATTTTAGAAATTCAAGTTTATATACGTTTAAAAATGGAATATAGTTTGGAGAATAAAGTCTGGAAACATGAAGGTTGTCAAAGCTCCGATTTAGTTTTTTAGATTTCTTTAGACCTGGAAAATCCCAGTACTTATTATTTAATTTAGTAAATAATGATGTGCTTTGGGCATAAATATTATTTATCTATTGCAACGTTGGAGCAAACAAATCAAATAAAGAATAAAGTTTTTGAAACACCACTTAATGTTAATGACTAAAAGTTAGAATTAGATATTAATAAAAACTCATATGAATTTTATTTTGACACAAACCTTGTCTGGTAAATGTTTCACTTGAACGCCTCCTGACTAAAACACAGCTGATTGTACATTAGTTAGTTTAATACACACAAGTTTTATATATTTAGATGATTCTAAAAACTATAGCTTAGGGGGAATTTGATGATGAAAAAATAAAGTGGAAATTAAATTAAATTGTTAAATCTGCGCTAATGTGAGAATTTACATAAAGTCTCTGCATCGCAGTTTAAGATAAAATGTTGCTTTGGGAAGTTTATTTTATTATTTAGGAAGCAATGGTGTTTAGTCGATCGTGATCCTGAGCAAACGGACCGTACCTGTGTCCATTATGAAGCGACACACGCGAAAGTGAGTTCTGGTGTCCCGGGTGGGATCAGCTCCAGAACCCCCGCCGGACCCCCCCCGGTCCGCTGCCCGGAGCTCTCTGTCCCGCCCCGCGGCTGAACGAGGGGACGGACCCTCCATGTGCCCCGGAGCATAAAAAAAACACAGAAAAGGAAAATAAACTGTAAATTTCCATTAGCCAAAAACTGTTAGCCTAGCTGCCGACGAACATCCGTCTATTACCGGAAGATAAACAACTCAACTTCCGGTTATGATTTCAAAATAAACTTGGTGAGTTAAAAATTTGCGTTTTGTTTAAACGTTATCAAGGTTCAGTCAGGTCATCTGGACAGTTTCTTTCTTGTTTTTTTTGTTGTTGTTTTTTTTTTTAGAGACATTTCGCCCACCTTCTGAAGGGCTTCATCAGTCTGAGGAGTCACAAACAAACTGTTTTCCCCACTAAGCAGTACACTCCAGAGGACCAACCTGTCTGCTGGTGATAAGATGGTTTCTGGGGGCTGTCCTCTCCCCCATCGACTCCTCCCAGGCAGCATAGCCAAAGTGGTTCAAGACATTAAGGTTACCCAGAAACCATCTTATCACCAACAAACTGATTGGTGGGAAAAACAGTTTGTGACTCCTCAGACTGATGAAGCCCTTTGGATGGAGGACGAAATGTCTCTCAACAAAATTAAAAAAGGAAACTGTCCAGATGACCTGATTGAACATTGTTGGATTGTTATGTTTTCTGTAATTCATTTAAAAATAGTATTTACTTTTAATGGTGATTAAGTTTATTTAAAAGTTTAAAAAGCTGCATTATGTCTATAGCCGTGTCATTTTTTAAACATGCAAACCTTTAATTTGTTTTTAAATACTGTACTTTTTATTTTTTTTATTGCCACCATCAAACAGAAAGTCCGTTAATATTATATTAATAAGTCCATTAATATGTTACATATTAAGGCCATTACATCTATCTTGTGTTTGATTGCAGGTACTCTGACTCATTCACCCGTCGTCCCTCGTTTACCATAATTATTGATTGTGAAATTGTTGTTTCAAGGACTAAAAACTCTCAGATAAGATTATCTTTAGATTATTCTGTATCCCACTCTTCCATTTAAAACATCCACTGGTCAAATTTACTCACTGCAATCAATTCTTAAGTTACGCAGCAAATCTCCAATCACTCCAAGAGCCAAATAAAAAGTCCACTTTCAAACCTGAAATGAATTCTCTGCTTCCACTCACTTTATTCAACAACGATTTGGTGTTGAAACCAACAACTGTGTCTTTTGTGATGATGATGAAACAACAGCAGAGATTGTTTCACTTCATGTGTGTTGAAGCTTTGTGGTCTGATTTCTTTGTTTGTTTTCTTAAAATGTTCTCCAAGACATTATTTACAGACTTATTTTGGACACTTACAACAATGATGTTCTCATAAACACTATTATCTGGGAAGGTTTTGAATTTTCATCCACAAAACCAAATACTTGAAAGCTAAGCCAAAGTTCTGTGTTTTTCACAAATACGTTATTTCGTATTATAAAGCTGTTAAACTAATGCATAATAAATTCAGTTCAAGTGTATGATTTAAAAAGCTAAATCCATTTCTTTTGTTTCTTCCCTTGTTTCTTTCTTCTGTATTTTATTTGTTGATTAATTTTCTTTGGTTTCACCCGTCTCTTTTTTTATTTGCAACAATCAGTCTGAATTGCATTTATAGCAGTTTTCTAGAGGAAGTAGTTTGCAACAGGAAGAAATTTTACATAAGAAGTAGATTTCTTCAGGAACAAAGTTGTTGTATAAAATATAATATTTCATCATATCTGTTTTCTTGATGTAGTGCATCATTTTTCTCCATATATAATCAGAGTTGATCTGATGGATTTTTATAGCAGATTTGTCAGAGAGAGGAATAGGCTTAAAAAAAACCATCTAGTTATCGTTTCTGTTTTAATTACAAAGACTCCACCAAAGAAACTAATGTCCCTTAACAACCACAGATTGACGTTCCTCATTAACCTTCCATACATTCTGTTTTTAGACACAAGAATACCAAAATATTTGATGGAATTTTTGATCGGGATGTCATGAACCTTATAAAGAGGACGGACTGACATCAGTTCACATTTGTTTAAATATAATTTAAGACCAGAGGCTTTCAGAAAAAATACAAACATTTTGATAACTGGAGTGTCGTTTACATCTTTCAAGAAAACAGTGTCGTCATCAGCTAACAGGCTGATGATGATGGTCCTCCTAACACAATAAGAGGAGCGAGACGAGAGTTTTTAACAGAAATAGGCAGCATCTCTGCCGTCATTATAAAAAGAAAAGGAGAGATGGGACAGCCTGGTTTAATTCCTCATTCTGTACAGAACTTGAGGGGAAGTTCCTCTTGCCAGTGAGGTCGAGGAGGTCGTGACCTCATAAAAACGTTCAGTGATAAAAGAGTCCCAAAACCAAAAGATTTCAAGCTGTGGAAAGTAAAAGGATGCTCGACGGAGTGGAAAGCCTCGTAGAAATTCAGGAAAAGAATAAAACTGTCATTTTCAATAAGATGGTTTTAATGATTGAGGTCCTAGAAGGCCAATATTACTGCGTGTAGATGTTCCCGTCATTAAACCAGACGGGGTGTCACTGATAATTTGCTGAATCTTCCTTTTTAACCTATTAGCAAATATCAAATTAATAATTTTATAATCAGTATTTATCAATGTGAAAAGTCTTAAATTATCTAAAATAATGTGGTCCTCACCGGAGTTAGAGAAAGAAGTGTTATATCACCCTGATGTGTCTTTAGCACCGTAAAGTCTAACAAAAGTTAAACACAAATTAAATAATTATCGAAAATCTTGAGATGTTAGAATTTCGTTCTAGTATTTGAACATTGTATAACATTATTATTATTGTAAAGGTTGTATTTAATAAAAAACAAGTTTGGGTCCTTCTCGTTTGTGTTTTTGTGGTTTGATTGTGTTGCTAGGCAACCAGTCAACAAAACACAGTCCAGGTCGCTGCAGAGGCAGAAATGGCGTCCAGTTTCTCAGCAAACCAGGTAAACTTTTGTTATCTGGCTGCATTTTTTTTAAATGACAAAACGTTCTTCGCTGACTGAACAGGTTTGTTTCAACGATGAATTTGATGTTTGATCATTTTCTCTCTTCCAAGTATGACGGTGCCTTCAAATCCCAGAGGCTGCAGAACTGGTGTGAAGCTAAGCACTTTAAAGAGGTATCGGACGTCCTGTCAGCAGCAATGTGCAGTCGGATTAGGTTGTAATCGATTCGTGTCAATCTGGTGACGTGGGTTTGTGTTTGTAGAGGCCCTCAGCATGGGTGAGTCCCACCTCCTTCATCGCAGATAACAGAGGACATCTTCTCCCAGGAGTGAAGGTCGGAGCACCAAAACTCATTCTTTCTTTATTTAAAGCAGGTTTTCTGCAAACCACTTCTCTTTCTGGGTTGTTTTGCTAGAAAGGCAATGCCTGGCCGGACTTTAAGGGAACCTGGGATTTACCCGCTCGTGTCCCAGCCCACCACATCAACCCCACGGCCCGCTCTGCAGAAGGCCTCGGCAGGCTCAGGTCCTGGGGGCTCTGTCCACAGCAAAGTGCCAAATCACTGCGAGGCGGCAGGAGCGCACATGTGAGCGAGAAGGTCAGGTCCATCAGGCCCATCCCTGTTTTATATTTACACAAGCTCTTTATACAAAAGCTCAGGTTGTTTCCACAAGGTGGGAGCTGTAAGGAGCCGACTGGGTCGACAAACGAGCCACAGACGAACTCAGGTTTCCAAATCAACAGCAACAACCACTAAACATCTACCCTGCGAGACGCAGTAGAGACAAGACTAACGTTAAAAGTCTCACTTTCATTGAAAACTTTATTGCTCATTCTCAAGGTGACAAAAACAAACTTCTGTTTAGATTTGAAAATTAAACGTCCACAAAAACCAAAAGAACATCCATCAAATAACAAAGAAAACAAACATGTCCGTGTATTATTGCTTTTTTTTTTTAAACACGGCTAAGTCAGAAAGATTGTTGATACCAAAAAGGTTCGATTGGGGGAAGAAACGAAAACAAGAAAATTTTGCATTTTCTGAGAGTTGAGTGAATTCACTTTGAGTTGTTAAAGTTACAAGAAGCAGAACACAAATAAAAAAAGTTTGAGATGTTTTGATTCGCCACAATCCAGATGACAGAATCTGCCAGCATACACGCAGAACTTCAGCCAAAAGCTCAAAGCCAAAAGATGCAAAAGACTAGCTAAAAAGCTAAATTGGAAAATTAAAAGCTTAAAAGCACCACAAAAGCAAGCAAAAGCCAAAAGAGTAATAAAGGAGCTAAAAGCTAGGATAGCAAAAAACAAGCTAAAAGCAACTCTAGCAAAAATGATAGACAAAAGCTATAAAAAGCCCCACAAATGCTAAATAAAGGGCAAAAGAGGCAAAAGGCTAGCTAAAATATAAATTATCAGGATAGTTAAATTAGCTAAAGACTGCAAAAAGCTAGCAACAAGCCAAGCCAGCAAAATGCTATCTAAATCTAAATTAGCAAAAGGCTCGCTAAAAGTAGCAAATGCTTTCTAAATGCAGAAGACTAGCTAGAAACTGTAAGTAGCCAAATGCTGAATAAAAGCTAAAAGTAGCAAAAGGCCAGCAAAGAGTGAGACGCTAGATACAAGTCAACAGTAGCAAAAGGCTAGCTAAAAACTGAAAGTATCGGTAAGACCAAACATCCAGTAGCTGAAGCAGATCATGAAAAGAGAAAAAGTTTTTTAAAGAATAGATGTCTTCCTGCGTTCACATGGGAAAAATATTTGTAAATAAATTTAAATATTTTATAAAGTATAGAAGTTTTAAAAACCAAAAGTCACATCTGAATGAGCCGAACATTTTGACACAAGAAACGCCAAAACATTTTAGAAAACTACAGAGACATTTAAAAAAAAAACCAGGAAGACAACAACTCATCATTCACGGTTGATGTTTAAGATGAAAGGAAAAAAAAACCCCACCGAGCCGAGAATCGTTTTGTTTATTTCTGAGTTACTTGAGCCTCAGCGGAGAGCTCGTGTCCCGATGGAGAGCCGGAGGAAACGAGCTCCGTCGCTCAGGGAATAAATTGAATGAAGGCCGCGGCTGCACGTGCTTCGTCTAATGACGGCGCCTGAAGCGCCGATGGTTTCATTCAAGCCAAACCCGTTCTGCTGCGTCAATCAGTCGTCCAGTGACTTAATAAATCCATTTATGAGTAAGAAGAGCTTTTACTTTGACCAGTACTCTGATACTTTACCAAAATAAAAGCATTCTGGTCTTTGTGACTTTTACAAAACTTACACTAAAAACAACCCTAACATTTAATATAAAACAACAAACATTTAAAATAATAGACATGTTCAAGTGAAATTATATATATATATAAAGAAAAGAGTTGGCTTGTATTTGTTTTCACAAGTGGTCATCAGAGCAAATCAGATGTACTCTAGACATTTTATTGTTTTTAATATTTGGGCTCAAATCCCTCCTGTGCTAAGTGGTTTTCTGTAAACTTCTTCAGACCATTGAGGGCGACCCGGCTGCTCCAGCTAAAGCCCGAACAGCATCCCAGAACCACCAGAACCATCGCTCACAAACAGGTGTGGCCGTTTCCGTTGAACAAAATGTCCAGGCCTCAGAACACCGGCCAAAGAGCCAGACATCTGCAACAGAAGAAAACCCAGTTTCATCGCCTACAGCTGGTAAAACATCCCCAAACGGGCCTGAGACCCAAAAGGGGTGAGCCCAGAGCAACAGAACAACATCCCTGTCCAGGAAGAGCCACAGGGACACACTGGCTCTGGAAGAATAAGAAAACACAGAAAATAAAAGCATTACCGGTGACATATGTTTATTATTCCAAACTAAATCAAACTTTATGCAGATGACATCATTCTGGAGGAAGTACACACCATACTTGTAGTGTACTAGAAAGTATACTGATTTAATACTTGTTTGGACTAAATTGGGACATTTTTATACTATATTTAAGTATATCAAAAAAGTTTATAAAAAGTAAACTTCAAGTACACTTCCTCGTTTTTAGTGTAAAATAATTATACTTGTAGTACACTTAAACTACTTTTTGCTAAGGGAGTTTTATTTAATGTAGCTTTTAGCTCATGTTTAACTTTACCTTTTGCTACTATTCTTTTTAATAAAGTTTTGTTGTTTTGAGCTTTATTATTTTTTAGTTATTTTAGCTGCTGTGTTGCTCCACTTAAACTAATTTAAACTACTTAAAACTACTAGTTTGCTCACCAACTTTAAGCTTCTGTCTGATTAGTTTTGTTCATTTTAGCTTTTAGCTCATGTTTTATGTCTAAGCTCATCACTGTCCTGATCAGTTTAGCTTGGTAACAATGTTTCAGCTCGTTTTACAAACTTCAGCTGTCATTCACTTCTCAGAGCTCTTTCAGTTTATTTTATCACTTCAGACTAAATATTTGCAGTTTCTTAAATGATCTCTGAACAGCAGGATACGTGACATTTTATCTTCTTGATATTTGTCTTGTAAAAAAAAAATCACCTTTAATTTTAACTTTATATTTACTGAATACCATTTAAACTTCCTGTTTGCTGTGTGAATTATTTGTTCTGGTTCGGGTTCCTCGCAGCTGTAGGTCCAGTTCTGCTCATTTCCTTGTTCTGTCGGCTGACAGGTACAACGAGCTGCAGCCTCGCTGAATAATGCAGCTGAAGGAAAGTGAATGTTGGGCACACGAGTTAGAGCTTCATACGGTCTCGGGTTTGGTTTTAAAAAAACGCTCAGAAACACAAAATGCTAAATAATCCAGCAATTTAGATCCAAACATCAGAGCAGCTTCCATGAACTGATGTGTAATTAAAAATGAACTTTAAACACTGAAGACAGGGGATTAGTTCAGAGCAAATCAGGTTGATAAGGATAAAACATCCAGTCAGCAGCTGATGGGCACAGAGCCAAGTACACCACATAGTTGTGCAGCTTCACGGGAACTTCACCGTTTCCTGTTTCTGCCAACGTTTGAGCAGAAACGAGCTCGTTTGTTGCATCTTTGTGCAACCTGATGGTGAAAATTCTTCGAATTTGAGGTTTGCATTTAAATCTAACCTTTTGACTCGAGTTTGCTCAAGAACATTAATCGTATCGTTCTTATGATTGTAAAACTAGTTGTTTTTTTTTTATTCTGGCTAATCTTTGTTTAGCTGTGTAGGGGAACATCACTTCAACTTAAACAGACATCATTCATGTGTTTGTGTTTTAAACTGTTAAAACGAGATGCATTTATTCCCTTGGGAATGAACAGGCTTTATTTTACAGGCGTTAAAATCAGCTTACAAACTCCTTAGTTGACACTAATCTAATGTAATGAAAAACTGTCATTGTGTTAACTTCACTGCCAATATGACCTCATTTCCCACGAAACGGACAGATTGTCTTAATGGGAGCTTGTGCTTCAACGAGCTCGAGGTGGGACACCTGCCGAGGAGTTTACTCCCAGGATTTTCCCATGGAGATAACAGTTTTAAAAGAATCCTTGGTTTTAAAAAGGACATTCCCTTTCAGGAGATGAACAGCGACACATGTTGGGCGAACATTACATGTTTTTTTCACAGTGTCAGAACTGAATGTGTCGTAGAAGTTGTCTTTGTTAAAGTAACCTCTCTAAGATAATCACGTTTATTTTTCTCCTTTTAAAACAAGTGTGGCTTTTTAAAGGCAGACAGAAGAAAATGGACTGTGGTTTTCTTTAAAACATGACAAAGAGTTATGAACCATATCTCGTCAGGAGGGAGAGTCCTAGGTCAATCTGAAACATACAGACACAGTGAATGCACTGCACTCAGTTCTTCTCATCCACTTGTGCTACACACTTCACCGCTCCTTCTACATGAAGGCACTTCAACTTCTTCCCTAGTGAGATGTCCGGGGAAGAAGCTTTTCTGCGAACGTCTCAGGACGAGGGAAACCTGTCATGAGAGTGAGGTCCGAACCAGAGACATCAATCATCGCAGTGATAAAATCACAGCTGACTTCAGAGCCAGTGGCCGGACCTTCGTCCCTCCAACGGTGATCGGTGACTTTTGAGGACACAATCCGCCTTTCAGGCCTTGCTGGTATCATCACAAGCAGTTGTGGACATTCTGACAGTTTATTCTGGTGAGAGAGACCTTTCAATGTACTTTCTGGTGACCATACATTCACAATGACATTAATTTAGATACACCAGTTAATTTAGTCCAAGGTTCTGCCTTTTATAAAAGTTACACTGGATTTTAATAATCAAACAACCTTTAACAAGGTAATTTTGTTATTAATTTGTGTAATAATTTTTATGAATAACCTTCATCAGAGTATTATTTTTGTAATAAAATACATAAAAATCAACTAAATTTGTGATTATTTTGACATATCTGTGTGTATTAACTGATTTTATGTCTCTAAACACGAGCAAGAATTCACGTTTCAGTTTACATTTTGAGGGTAGAGACCGATTATTTCCTCTGAAAAGAGGTGGTGCCCACGCATAACGAGGTTATTTACATAATAAATGCATATCTTATGAGCTTAACTCATAACTAATAAATTATATATACATCCGATCACAAATCCCTCTACAGCTGGATAATCAAGAAAAGGCTTTTTGTGTGGTTGACAAGATTTAGTCATCTTGGAACACTTATTTGATATATTATTATTATCATCATCATTAGACATTTATACAGGCTAGTTCCCATTGAGCTTTGAAGACTTATTTACAAGAGACCCATTGACAAAATAAGATTATTTTTGTCAATATTATAATCACATTTACTAAAAGCAGTCATCGAGTTTGAAAGCATTGCATTTATTGTGCGAATAATAAGAGCAATTTTCTGTAGCGAAATATGGCAAAAATATTTATCAATAATGAAAAAATATATCTTTTTTTTTTTGTTAAACTGTTGTGATCGTTTTAAGCAGCAATTAAAACCAAAGCTACAAGTTGAAAGTGTTACACCGATCTACTTAACTGGCTATCAGCATGAAGGCTAAAAATCAGCTAAATCTCTGATTTTTACATGTTGATAACAAACATTAACATTATGGCTCCAGAAAAATACAAGAAGTTACAATCTTAGTTTTGGACATTTGTTATGATGTGTAACCATGGCAACAAGGCAGTTTACAACAACAACAGCAGCTGATCAACATCTCAAAAGCTCAAATAATATCTCAACTACAGCCCCAAATCTCAAATGAGTTGAAAAGGATGTTCTGTGGATGCATTCTCATCTACCTGCCGGCTGTGCTCGAGTGCCTGACCACTGAGATCCTGGAACTAGCAGGAAACACGGCTCATGACAGCCGAAGGACAGGCTCGTCCCTCGGCGGACTGCTGGGAGGAGTGGCCATCGTGCTGGGAGGAGTTCTGCCCGGCATTCGGGCGCTCCTACAGCCCGGGGGAACCGACCAAATAACCCCTTCTTGAACCGAGAGGCCAGCCGAGTCTGGGTGGACGTATCGGACAACATCTGAAGCCAGTTTCTTGGGATCCACTGTGGGATGGACCTTTACAAGAGATCCTTCCCGTCTACAGCATCAGCATCTGTAACATCTCTTAATGAAATGAGGATAACGAGTTACAACAACAAAATAATTTCCCTTTGGGATTAATAAAGTATTTTTGAAGTGAATTTGAATTGAATCTGCACGTGTTTGTTTACAGCTGAAGAAACAGCCGAAGTGACTGAAAATAGCTCAGACATCCAAACAAAAAAGTTTAAATCATGACACGATTTAACCTTTTTTGTTTTAATCTGCCTGGATGAATTATCTTACAAACGTCAAACATCCAACTTCCCGACTGACATGTTGACCGACAGCCCGACTAACGTAGGTCACCAGCTTTGTGGTTTTTGGCAGATTCAGCAGAGTGCTCCGTTTACATTGAATGTGGACCCACGTTTTAATTTTTATATCAATATATCTTTAAAACTACCAGAGTAATCTCTTTAATTTCATACCTTCCAATGAGTAGCTTTAACTCAGATTTAATAGAGCTTGAAGGAATTGGATATTCTTGTCTGAATTATGTTCCTCTATAGAACCCAATGTTCTATAAACAAACAAACTCACTGCAGTCCTTTGAATACATGAGGCCTGGCCCCTTTCACTTGTAAAAACTGAACAAGTTTAATAAACATTTCTTCACATTTAAAACTGCACATCAAGTCCACCCTGAGGGATTCTGTTTAAAACGTGCAACTAGTTACGACTGGAGTGCAGGACGTTTCTGTTTAAAGAAAATAAAGCTTCACACACAAACCCTTCTCAAACCAGTTCAGACTTAAAGTTTTAAATCCGATGAGGTAGTGATGTGTGTTTAATGAGCCAGCGAAGCCACAGCAGAGCGAGGCGGACCCTGTGGAAGAAAGGTCCAGTAAGGATGCTTCGGGGATTTAAAAAACTCAAGGTTCAGAGGAAACGGAGCTCACTACCAAGAAAGAGACACACTGGGAGTTTAAACACACGCAGAACACAAACATTTGGTTGCTTATTTATGGCTTACTTTTCTCTTCATATCTCCTCACTGCGGTGGAGACAAACACGATCACAGTTTGGTTAAACATCTTCAAACTGAAGCAGCTTCACTGAGGCTGGTTCGTGTTTCTAGAACACGAACGGTTCAAAAGGCACAAAAATCACAGTGTTACGGTTTGCATAAGTACTCCAGCGAGTCTGAGTCAACCATGAGTCAGGGAGGAGCATTAATCCACTCCTACGGTTGGTGTCAGGATGTGCGGGACTTTGTTGTGATCCGGATTTTCTGAACGATCACCCAGTCCTTCTGAGCAGCTGTGACCAGTATCCTCAGACACGAAGAGGCAGAGCTGTGCTGCTTCTCTAGGTTCTGCATTTCAAACCTTCCGTTTTCAAAAGCTCCCACTGACTGGAACTCCTTACAGCTCCTCTCGTCCCCTGAGGTGACCACATGGTGGCCTATCTCCACCTGAGCCGAGTCCAGGAGGTCTTTCCCCCCCGATCCAGTTTCTACTAATATCCCCGTCACCACTGCAGGTCTTTGGAACACCACCGTCAGGTAACTTCCTTTGTCTGGAGACCGCCCCCAGAAGAAGCTCTTCCCGGCCTCCCAGGCCAGTTTGGGGTAATTTTTCTGGTAGGTGGACATGTTGGAGTAAACATCAGCTAAAGGATTAGAGTAGACCCCTTCCTCAAAGTTCTTGTCCTTCAGCTTGTTGAACGTCCCCTGGAATGATGAAAAAGTGCCCATGTGTTGGAACAACGAGGGCTTAAAGAGGATCGTCTCCCGCTGGGTCATCAACTCTCTGAAGTGAGTCATCAACCAATCACAGGGCATTTCCTGGTAGAAGAGGAAGAGGAAGCGGGCCAGAAGAGGAAGGTGGGCCGACTTGTAGAGCTTCCCGATGTAGCCGAGGGCCGAGAACTCCAGCATCGCCCACGTGCCCTTCTTTGAGTTCTGCTCTTCAATTCGTCCCCGAATGGTTGTCAGGAAGTTCTTTGCAGAGGAGACGTCGTCTTCCAGCTGGAGGTAGTACTCCCCAAGAGAGGCACAGTAGTGGACGAGGAAGGAGTAATCCAGGTTCTGCTTGGATCGGAACGTTACCCGATTAGGAGGATCGTTGTAATTCCTCTTTAGGCCTTTAGGAGAACCAGAGAGACGCATAAAGATTAGAACATTAACAAGAATTTGTCCACAACTGAAGGACACCTGCTTCACCTGTAAGAGGCGGGTACCAGTCCTGAGGAACGTGGACGACCACAAGCTGGCCTTGTTCCAGCTCCGGGGCAAACGTCGTTTTTATCTCCGTCGCCGTCTCGATTCTCCAGCTGGTGTCAAAGTCTGCCAGCAGAACCACGACCACCATGGCGGAGCGCTCCTTGGGAGACGACTGAGAGAAGAGAGACCGCAGCGTGGGGACGAGGTAGCTGCCCTTCTTCCGACTCACCGAGGACAACCCGACCGCCAAAAACCCTGAAATGTGTTGGGACAAAAAACGGATCGTTAGGGTTCAGCTTTTGACTCGGGACTAATAAATCCGACGTCCACCACCTGTCTTCTTCAAAACCCAATCTGGGACTTTGTTCTGTAATAATCTAAGCTGACAAAATGGCCGATGTTTTGACGTATGAACTGTGGAAGTAAAAAGAACCAAGATTTTTTTTAAAGTAAACGTTAAAGCTGCTGAAGGGTCACCATGGTAACCACACATCTATCTATGCGTCACGTTCCGATAGCGCTCTCAACACAGACAGTCTGAAATGCAGAATAAAAAGTAAGCCTCAAACTGTTGGTGTGAAAATCAAAAGTTGTATTAAATAAATTCCTGAGCTGTAACTGACAGAAGCGCCTGGACGTCGTACGTGAGAATCAGTGGTGGGCCAAACTAACTTTCCGGTTTGCGGATTAGTGTTTTCGCTAACTTTAAATACCTTTAGTGGAAATAGCTTCTGCTAAATTTAAAGTCTGTAAATTCAAGTCTGCTTAAAAAAAAAAACGGCTCTCCACACTAACAGCGTACAGAAGAATGGAGATTTACACAGAGCTATACTATGATATGAAGAGCTCAGTAAAGCTAATAATAATATTAAGCTAATATTAGCTTGTGACAGCTAATATGTTTATTATTTATTACTGCTGCAGTATGTGGCTGTATCATGTATGATACAGTATCTGTGCATCTATCTTACCATCATAATTCAATCTCAGTGTCACACAACCTGTGCAGTATTCAAATTCATCCTGCTACATCGTTACATTTTACCATGCTGTTGTTTACCATCTCTCTTGAGGACCTTGTAAATATTATAATTACTTTTCCACTTTTCAGTACTTTATGTACCCTTATTTTATGCTTTTAGTATTTCTTGTTTGTTTGTTCTTTGATTTTTTTTTTTAGCAAGTCAAATCAGTTCTTCTCATCCTAAACATTTCATTGTACTGTTGACCTTGTGTTAACCTTGAATATGACAAACACAACTTGAACTTGAAGTGCAAGCGGTGAAGTCACCACCCTCTCAGTGCTTTCCTCCCTCATATCTACAGCAAACAGTCTGTGATGACTGATGGTGTCTTTTTACAGCCAATATCAGAGACTTTAACAGAAATACCAAACCAGAACAGGAAAACAACATGAAAAACACATTTTCACACTCAGAAACATCAGAAACACTCAGAAACAACACTCGGAAACGACTCGGAAACGACACTCGGAAACGACACTCGGAAACGACACTCGGAA